TAAAGATGCCGATTATGTTGTTAGTTTTTGGTAAAAAAGTTTTAGCCATGTGATTTTTTTTAATGTTATCATTTCTTTTTTTATAAATATATTATTAAGAAAACATTTTACCGTCATAGTTTTTAAAAGCTGATTACATCAAACATAAAGTCAAATTTTCAACAATGAAAATAGATAGGAAATCGAATCTTCCGCTTTGATTTTAGCCACGACCTCCTTTACCACGACTTCGATTTCCACGCAGAGCCGATTCGAAATGTGTTTGCATCTCTTTAGCCTTTGTGGATGGTTTAACTGGTATTTTTCTAAGGATTATTTTGCCCAATGGAGTCAATGGATGTTATCATTGTTTGAAAACATGTCATAGTTTTTTTTTGAAAAATTTCAAAAAATACCATTTTTCAAGTGCCATTTTACAAAAATACCACACTTTTGAAATCTTTACAAAAATGCCACTTTTTCAAAATTATATTTTCTTTATATTATTTATGTTTGGGTTAATTATGTTCTATTAGAGTTTAGTTTTGAGTGTTTGGGGGGTTTTAGGTGTCAAAACATTTTTTAGGGTTTAGAATTTTAAGATATAGGCTTTATAAATCTATAATTAGTGGCATTTTTGTAAATGGACACCCCTAAGTGGCATTCTTGCAAATGTGCACATAAAATGTGGCATTTTTGTAATTATCCCTAGTTTTTTAGCCAATAAAATTAAAACACTTAATATTTTTCACTTATAGCACTTCTTTTTTAATAGTAAGGGGATATTTAAGAAATGTATCTTTACTTTCCTTGATTAGTGGCAAATGACAATTCAAAATAAGATATCTCTTTCTTAGTTTATCTTTTGATTTCCTTTGATATGTTTGCGATGAGAAATTTGGTCTTTTATTATTTTAATTGAAAAACGGATACATCCGATTAGATTATATGAGATGACTAAAAGAAACAATCAACCGATCTGGGGAATGTTGAAAACATTGCCATTGGAATCTAGATAGAGACGGACTCTGTTGCAACAAAAATCTGGAATCCCAATTATTCCTTGTGGTACGATCACAACTGTTACATTTGGATTCTCCTTTTCGATCGTCCTTTTCACCATTTCTCCTTTTTTACCTCTCAATTCTTTCCACATAAATTTTGCTCCTGAATAAATAACATAATAATGATATATTTATTACTTTTTGAAAAAAAAAAGAGAGAAGAAAATGAATAAAATTAAGATTTTGAAGTATACCTTGAGCACAACATGATGGACTGTCGCAAGAGCCACTCACACACGGAGGATAATGAGGCCAGTGAGACATCTCTTCTTATTCTATCTCTCAATTACTAAAATATTTGAATGTTTTTATTTTACTTGAAATCTTAGCACAACTATTCTCTGTAAATATAAAATAGTTATGTGGTTTTCTATGGAAACAAAATAAATATTAATTTAAATATGAAAAGATACCAATTTTACGTTGACCAAATTATACCTCTTAGTTATTCATTAACTATTAAAGGCTTGACTAGTGAATTCGACCATCAAATTCATATTGTAGTTTCCAAAGAAATTGACAATTCTATAAATGGTTTGGTTCAAGTATGTTTCTTAATCCATTATAGAAATATGTCAAATTTTGAAACATAAACAAACCAGTCAATTTTGACCAATGTATATTATATAATTTTTCTTTATGATACGTATGTGTATAAATTCCACGCTTGTCATTGGTTATCAGTGATAACTTATCATATTAGTGGATCTCGTGAACTACATAGAATAAAAGTAAATAAGTAAAATTTGGAAATCGCAAGAAATTCGAATTCCAAGTGGAAATCATTCCAATTATGTTGGTTCCTAATCATCTTTACTAGGTCGAAAACAATCCGTCTTGAAACACATCAAAGTAACTTGTTTTCGATCATTTTTTGTTTGTTACAATTTGTGTTTTCGATCATGATATCGCCCATACGAACCTATCCAATTCGGTATATTACCTTCAACCACTTCTTTTTACCCCAATTAGAGAAAGTTCCTTGGTGTTCACAAGACACCCACCTAATCCAAGAAGAATCAAATGTGTAATGTCGGATTTGGAGATCAATCATGGACTCACTCATGTGGTTTTGGCATGAACAAAGAGATTTTAAAAGCAAACAAAAAAAATTGTGGAGCAAGTTGTTCTGATTTTCTATTTAGAGAACTACACAAATACATTTTTTTTTAAGTGGATACAACTCAATATTTTAAACGTCGAGAGAGGTTCTCAACACTAAAGACGGTTGTTTTTCAGGTTGCTTTACGTACTCTACAAGCAACAAAATAATCGACAAATTAAACACCGGTTCGTTCCTTTTTGAAATCAAAACAGAGTGGTTTGGCGACCGATTCGTCTCGGTAAGCCAAAATTTTGATAAGATCTGATTTCACCATGGACTGTAGCCGTCACTATCACCATCCCCCAAGCCGTCGGCTGTATGGTCTGTGGACCGTGGCCCCCACCATCGAACCACGACCACGAAGATAATCTTAATGACGTGTTTATCGAAGCAGATTCTCCAAACCTCGATGAATGCTGCTCAGAACCGTTCATACTGGACCCAAATGACTCGCTGCTTCCTATCTCCGGTCCCGCCTCTTCCTCCTGTTGTCGCTTCGGACTCTGCGTAGCAGTTTTCTTAGGGATAGGAGGTAGTCCCGGTTTCTTATTGCTGTTAGAGGTAGTTGGTGGTGCGGCCGAGGTTTCTTCTTTTGTAGGTGAGCCTGTTGCGGATGAAGGGTGGCTCGAAGTGGATATGCGTTTTGATTGGCGTTTAGAGTGAATCTGAACCGGTGGTGGCTCACCTCTAACATGACCGTGCCACGGAACAGCGGCTGAGACATCTTTGCATTGAAAATGTTCGTGTGATTGTGTCATAACTGTTGATCTTTTGCCTGTGTCTGATGATGTTCGGTTACTGTCGTTTTTCCACAGGTAAACCTGACTGTCTTCGCTCGCACAGATTATGTATTTCCCGTCTTGGCTATACGAAGCAGAGATTTGGCTGTTCGTGTTTCTAAAGCCTGTCAACAAAAGGGTCGTTTTTTGTTCTTTTTATTAGCTATCTTCATAAGATGAATCACGAGGTTGTTTGTTTGTATCTGGTGCTTGTTGAGATTTTACCTTTGAATTTGTGAATAACTTCAGAACCGTCTAAAATTCTAATCCGTGAATCAGCGGATGTGACAAGAACTTCGGATGGATTCACCGGGGAAAACTAAAATGTATGAAGTTACATTAAATGGTGTTTAGTCAGTCTAACCAGAAATTTTGGTTTTCATAGAGACATACCTGAAAACTGGTGATCTTTTTCTTCGCTTGTGATTTCTTATGGCTCTGAACATCAATCTGACTAGTTTGATTCAGCTTACAATCTGTTCTACAGAAGAAGAAAACGCGTAGCAGTGAAAAAGAGTATTCAAGTGGGAAATGATGTTTGAATCAGAAAGAGATTAGGAAGAACCTTCTGTATCGTAAGCACGGCAAATTCCTTTTTGTGACCCGATAAGCGCACCCTTCAATCAAGAAATCCAAAATTCCATCATTAAAACACCGGAATGGAGCGGATTTTGCAGACTACTGCAAGAAACAGAGTGATTACCTGACCGTCTGGAGTGTAGCAAGCAGCAGTGACCATCTCATGAAGATCGCTCCATTCCACGACATGTCGATCCTGTATGCTCCATATCCTTATCTTTGCATCAAGTGACCCACTTATGAAATAGTTTTCATCCACTGGATTGAACTGAATACATGTAACTGTTGAATCAAAAGGACAATTATTGTCAAAAGGAGATGCAGCAAAATAGTTAGATGTGAAAAATCGGAGGCGTCTCACCGTAGTCATTGTGAGCAAACAACTTGAGACATGTTCTGGTTTCTAGATCCCATAACCTGACTGTTTTGTCCATAGAAGAAGAAAGGAGAAGCTGAGATTTGGACCATGACAGATCCAAAATATCATCCAAATGACCCTTAAAAGAGCAAACAGGCTTCTCCGAAAAGGAAAAGACGGTTTCAGGGACATGTACGTATTCAGGAATATGATTGCTTCTTCTAGCTGATGAGCCTTTTCCTTTCTTTTTCTTATCAACCACAGTTATCTCATTCCCAGCAAATGATCTTTCCACAGAGTCACAAAGCGAAGGATGAATAGGAGTACGACTCCCTTCATTGATAGACATTAATTCACATTCTTGCACTTCCCATACATGAATGACTCTATCTTCTCCACCACTCGCAAGATAATGAGCATCCGGACTAAACTTGATAGTCCAAATCGCGCTCTCGTGAGCTTGAATCTCTTGACACATATGCAAAGCGCTTAATTCCTTGTAAGATTTCCCTGTTGGTCTCACTTTCACCCACTGATTCGCTTTCCCGTGCTTATGATCTTTCGCCTTTTTAGGACTATCCGTGCTTCCATCGCTTACATCTTTATCCGCAACTCTTAAACTCATTGAATGAGCTACACCTTTTATGTTCTTCAGCAATGCAGCTCCTCTTCTCTTGCTAAGCCTCACGCTTTTCGAAAGATACGAATTGAGTTTCCGAAGATCCATGAAAGGCTCGTAGTTAATCCTGTTGACATTCTCTCTACGCATAAGCTCTTTAACAACAGGTGAATACCCAACGCATTTCTCGAATTCCTCCAAAGTTAATTGCTTCCCCGTTTGTAAATCACTAAGCCTATTCCACATTCCATCTTCATCATATTCATTCACTATAAACTCTTTCCCTGTATCAAGATTCTTAATCAAGAAAAACGCACCAAGCCTAGCTTTCGTCGACATAACCGATGTCAATGCGTCTGAGCTACCACCACCACGATTTCGACAAACCACCGCAGGTGATTGCCTGATTGGGGTTTGATACTGGCAGATTCTCGTCCTGGTCCTTGTAGCTCCGATTGTAGAACACGTTCTGGTTAATCTCTGCTTCGAGATTTTCCCTAGAATCTCTTCTTTCCTCCTTTTCTCAATCAAAAACCTCTCAATATCCGATTCCGATCTCGACCTAGCGAGCATAACCGGAACATGGTCATGATCGTGAGCCTCGTGAACATCAACATTAACCTCAACCTCGCCGTTCTTCGTCGTCTTCTTATTATCTTCACCATTGCTAGCAATCGCCGTCGCATTAGAGACAACGCGACGAATCGAAACAGCACCGACCATATCCTTATTGCTAACGAGACCCATCCCATGGAGGAGACGACGACGTCGCTCAGAAATCGATCCAGGAGCAGCCATCCAGATATCGTAATCAGGAGACATCGCCGGAGTACGGAATTTTCTAGAGGCGTTAGATACGGTGGTTAAGGAAGATACGGCGGAGGAAAAGGAGATTCGACAGTCATCGAAATCCTCTTCATCTTCTTCGTCATCATCGGAAGAAGAAGCAGCCATGTCGAGAGTACTAAAAGCAGAAGAGAGACGATCATGAGTTTCGAAGAATCTATCATCATCTTCTTCTTCGAAATCGCCTAATCCTGCCCAGTTCATCGTCATCGTTTTCTTCCGATCCAATTTGTTTCCACCATTATTATTATCCCCTAAATCTCCCATCATTATCGATCCGTAATCTGGAGAAAATTAATCGAATTTGCATACGAAATTGAACAGAAATTTCAAGAGAAATCGT